GTTTAATTCATGAGTGCCCACTACTGAGGCTATGCTTTTAAATGTTTTTCTGGGTGTGTGTAACTGTATGAGTTATCTATAGTACACCTAAGCGTGCATATGACTTAGAAGTATCGTGTCGATTCACGCAATAGCAACGAAGTATTGTGGTGAGCCACCTCCGAAATTTGCGGACCTTGTCTGTCACGTATGGGCATTTTACCGGACTATGTCCTTATACATATCGTCTTCTTCCCGCATCTCTTAGATTCTGGTACATGCTAAGTAAATACGGCTAAGTAGCACCCACTTAATTATTACGTTAAATGTGCTTTTGATTTGCCCCTGAAGGCTCTAAATGTGGTAAATATATTACTGCGTTATAAGTTTGCTAGATAAATCTGTAAAGGCGTTTGAGCAAGTAATCCGCAGCAACAACTAATTTACGTGCCCAAAGGCCATGCTATTTGAGGCCATGCTTCTGTACCGGGTTCAGGGTGCCCTTCTGGAGATACTTGAAACCCTTTTTGAGGAGCGGTTTGTGTGGCGAAAGCTGGACGAGCTACGCCTTGCTTCATTGGCCCCCGGATAATTCTCGGAGGCGTGTGTGGGTGCCAAGAATTTGGGGATACTTCGAGATACCCAACAGCTTGTGGCTTTCCGCTAAACTTTTATTATATTTATTGAAAAAAAAACCTACATCATCAATTAATCGGATATGGTGTATCGGCTAGCATCACCCGCTTTCAACTGAGAGTTCCGGGTAGAGCCGGGTTCGACTCCCGGTATCCGAAAATTCGTTTTTTGTCACTCTTGCGGACTCATAACTTTTTGGATGTTAAAATCATACTTTGAAAATTAGAGATGAAATAAGTCTGGTAATTGATGCTCTGATGGGTGCTCTGATGGATGCTCCTCAATTTTCCTTTTTACCGGTTAAAATTCGTCTAAAATTCGTCTAAAATTCGATAGTAGGTTCTACCATGTGACTACGCGCCAGCACTTCTCGTGATGGGGCAGTCAAGCTCCGCGTCCTTGCACATATTTTATCACAATGAGCTCTCCGGTCTCGTTTATGACAGCGCGCCAGACCCCTAAATCATCCGCGTCGACACCTCGAGATATTACCAGTTCGCCTCTTTCCTCAGTCCCACCGTCGTCAGCCGTTCCTATACCCTCGCCGGCTCTAAAGCCCCTACGAAAACCCTTCTTCCGCCCCGCCAAACCATTATCGTATGAATTGCGGAACCACTCCGCCGTGTACTTAGAGGATGGCCAATGTGGGTGATTCCGATATCCCTCTGCGCTCGGACGCTAATTGACCTTGGTAGATATCGAGGCTTTCACACTTCTTAATAATCTCCTCGTCTCTAGCACCTCGATCTCGACTCCAGAAAAACCTCACCAAGCCTTCATACCACCTCCACAGCATCTCGCGCTTGCTGCAACTCTTATAGTCTACCCGTCCCTTACTACAAAGGCAAAATCACTCGAGCGGCAAAAGGGGTCTAATGCGGCGCTACAATACCTGCGGAACGTCAGTAAAACAGTTGATCCGTTAAGTGACAACTTCCTAGTCGCTTTCACCTTTCCAACATTAGGATCAACGCGCCGAGGCGGGAGAAACAGAGGAGCAGAGCCGGAGTCCCCGGATTCTGACAGCGGGGAGCGATCAATCAAAACAAATGTTGCGAACGCGGCGTCATTGTGGGCGCGAGCGGAAGATTTTTGGCACATTGTGGGATGGGCATTCAACTGTTCTATTGCCTGGAAGAAGAGATGGGAGCGGTGGAAACTGTGGCTAGAAGTTATGCTTGATTTCATGGAGGCTGAATGGGTGGAAAGGTTAAGATGGAGCGGGGAAGGCGGTGCAGATGTAGAAGCGATCCTCACCCAAAGTCTGATATGGCACTATATATCATCTCAGGATGCCGAGAGCCGCGCTTCGCGACGAAGAATTCTCCGAGCTATACTTGCGGATGGGAGCGTCAAGCATATGAAAGAGTTTACTGAGGTGTTCAAGAACGAGACAAAGGAGAAGAAACAGGAAGAGGAGAATCTTCTCAAGGAACAAAAAGCTCTTGATATTGAGAACGGAGAATTTGGTGATTATGATGTTGTTGATGATGATGAAGATGCGATCATGGAGGATGCTGGTGTCCGTGCCTCCAGTCGGCCGATGAGAAGAGCTGCGATAGGCAACAAAAACACACCTAATATAAGCGACGACTCTTCCGAAAATGAGGAAGAGCGGGAAAGTCCAGAAGAACCATTGAGTGGAGTGGAGAGACTAGGTGGGATTGATGCGCTTGTTCTCCGTCAGCGACTACTTGCTCTTGTAAGTGTCTGAACTTTCCACACATTCCCCCAAGTGACTGATTTTGTCAGCTTGCCCAAGTCTCACAAGCCTTGCCTAAACTCTTCACGAGTGTCGAAGACCTCTTTGACCTCTATACCGAGTTCATTCGTCCTCTCCACACCTCTATTTTTGGCGCTCTCTTAAGCACTTCTAAACTCCTACCTGCTACTCAAACAGCTCTAAACACCAATCTTCTTCTCCCTCTTCTTGCCACCAATCTCCCGAATTATAACATAATATCGCCCACACAGTCTCATTTGGAGCAATACTTCCTACCATTCCCCGCTACCACGCACAGCTATGCCGACAACGCAAAGGTTAGCATAGTGCTCGAAGCAATTTTCACACATATGATGAACGACAGCACTTTACAGCCAACAAGAACACTCAGAGCTGCTATGGAGGACGGAATACGGGCCAGAGATAATAAGGCATTGGTGGACGGAAGGAAAAAGAAGGGAAACGTAGACGAAGAAGAGATAGCAAAAGGAATTCTGGGGATGAGTAAGGCGCGTTTGATAGGTCTGCTGGAGCTCGTGGAGATGGGTGAGTGAATTAATATCATGAATAACTCGGAAGGAACATTGGGAAAACTCTAGCTATTTTAAGCATACCCTTTTTTACGAGAGAAACTTAAACTCGCTCGATTAACCTGAATTTTAGAATTTCTCCTGTCCCTCCTAGGATATATCCCATTCTCCATACGCATTTACTAACCCATCCAAAAGCCGCAGGTCTCGTGCCGCAACCTTCACAACATCTCGCCTCGCCACCCAACGCAAGTCGAGCACCGTCCTCATCCCTATCATCGGTGATATCCCTATCCTCTAATTCTAGTGCAGAAGATGAGGATATAATGAAGATTTAAAAGAAATATAAATAAGCGCCAGGCGTTTTCGTGCACAGGTTTGGTTAAATATAACTTGTTGGAGAATGCATTTTTGTCGGCGTTTACTAAAACAAGTGACTATACCCGGACGCCGATAGATATTTGAGGAAATAATTTTATGACCTATCACGCTCCAGTCGCGCTTCTTGGCGGCTTAGATACCCAATAACAGGGAAAATCTACTATCTCTTCTATGCATCAGCAATGAAGGCGTACATGCTATGATAATATTTTGAACTTGCGCCAAACCTTGTTGGGCCATGTGAGTGATTGAAGCATTTAGGAAGGCACATCTATCGCGCTAAATTCTGAGTTTCAACCGCGCTCCAAATAGTGGACAGGCTACAACACTCCTACGTCAAGTTGTCGCGCTTCCAGTGCTAAAAAATATTCAGGAAAAGTAAGGCCTTCGGCATCAACTATGGCGGAGATTACAGTAGTGAGCGTGGAGTATGGAAGCCCTTCTGCTTTGCTGCTAAGGTACTGCAACGTCTTTCATGGATGTTATTTTACTCGTTTCTACTCATAACGAAACTCCTTTGTATACTAGCGACCTGGCCAGACTTTTGGCGAGTTTTATTGGCGGCATTTGCGCATAGCTAAGTATCTAGGACATCACCAGGGATGACGAAAGAAACTGCCGGTAGGTGGGTGATGTCAGCAGCCCTACCAGCAGTTTCTTTTGCTACCCCCTGTGCCGCAAGATAAAGAGTTCAGCTTCAGAGCGTTCTATTCAGGTACATTGTCTAATTGCGTCCTATCCCATTAAAAGGGTATTTTGATCCCGTTGATTAAATGGCGTAAATCCATATCCTTCCAATATAGAGCCACACCCAAAGCAAGTGGCTATTTAGAGAGGCAGTTATGCGTGTTAGTCAAAGGGCGGGACTCAGATGAAGCGCTCCAAAGGTGGAGTTTTTATTGGCATCTAGACAATACTGTGGTTAATCACGTCAAATGAGGCATGTTTTTCTTTGGGATGACTCCAAGCATGCCCAAAGACATTTACTAACATTTTTCTGGAGATATCCTTAATAAGAAATCCCACATACCGGAGCGCTAGATTCTCGTTATGCAACCCATCGCTGGGAGACCATCCATAGAGCCAACACTCTTCCCACGGCATTTTTACTTCTCGTTTTAATCATCCGGAGTTTTATAGCCGTGCGTTGCGTTTTTCTAGAATGCATACTAGCTGGCACTAACGGCAGGTTAGGGGAACGGCTGAATGGCGCAATTCAAGCACTTGCGAATGTTCCTAGGGTAACAAGCTTGATCGGCGCTAAGGAACACCGGTCCTTGCCGTGCCAAGGGTACCTCAAACTGGACTTCAGCCTCGTGCTTTCGTCGCACATCTCTTCCTTGGCCTTATCGTAATGATCTTCGCTGCATGATGCAGGCCACTATAAATTCCCTGCAATTCCAGAAAGCCGGTAGATTACCAGGAACCGAGATCCACGTGAAAATGCGCACAAGGCTCCTTTGCAGTGGACTCGGTCATTGGATGAAGGTTTCTAAGAGCAAACATGTAGTGAAGACAGTGTTTATAGGCGGTACAAATGTTCAAACACAAAGAAAAGGAATAGAAAAGCCCTTGGCCGGAGAATATTCTCGAAATTCAGAACAGCAATTGCAATGACCCGTGTCTTTTGAGCGCCTGACCCAATCACTCACGTCCACGAAGGCGGCGCAGTCAAGAGGTCCTTGGGACTATGATACCCAACGCAGTTGCATTATGCTCTTGCAATTGAGAGAGTACCGCAAGGAATAAACCAACGTGTCGCTCACAAAAGCAAATCTATTTTCTTTATCCCTCATCACTCCGTTCTTCAACGCAAATGCCTCCACCAACATCCAAGTACCAGCGGCCTGTATCGGTGTGGTTATAAAAGCACTTTTTGGGGGTTTTTTGGGTCGTTGCCGAATCTGTCAGGGCACTCCCTGTTAGTGGCATACTCGATTTCGAGTGAGATATAAAAGACATGCTCTGCTGAGAGTTCCGTACCATATGTTGAACACGCTATTACATCACCATCTACGTTCACCTTGTGCCCGAATCACCCGGCTCTTCCATGCCAATGCTCCCCTCATCGACCTTGTCGCTTTATTGTCCTGCTCCGGCCCTTCTTTTCGTCGCACCATGCACCAATATACATATAAGCTTCATTCGTCGTGGAGGTATTTTCATTGGTGAGAGTCTCAATTTCGTCATAGCCAGAGCAATCACTAGCGGTTGAACCTGCTTTAGCTTGGACTGAAGAATGAGGTTGCCTATCTATGCAAATGATTTGGTTAGCATATGATCTCAAGCTTTTAGAAGTACTCACTCGGCGGGCACGAAAATGTTGTAGACCCTGCCGGGTCTGCCGTTCGACTAGTGCGAAGAGCCCCCAAAATAGCTTTCACTACGTCCGCATCTACGCATCGAGATGGTAACCGCAGATACCGGGTCAAGTGGTCTTGGTCCCGTCGTATTCCTGGTATATCTAATCCGCTTTGGACATATGTTTTTGGGTTTGGACTTCCATGAGCTGTGACTTCAGGCG